GAATGAAATGGTCAAGGAAATATTTCAGGAGTGCTATGTTAAGGGTATGTTAACAGTATGTTAAGCAGTAGCATTTTAAGTATTCTCAGTGATTTCTCCCAGATCTGATTGGTTTTCATCCCAGAAATGAGGGGGTTTAGTGCAGGTGGAAGCTGCACGCACAGGGTGTCCAGGAAAACGTGAGCAAGCTGAGGAACGTTGTGCCCGAACCAGGACTGGAGACCAGCAGCATGGAGGGGACGGTGTACATGAAACAGCATATCCCCTCAACATCCTCGGACAGAAAACGGTGAGCTTGCAAGACTCTTGCTCTGACCCATAGCTCACTTTCCATGGTCCTATGTAGCCTTCAATAGACTTTATTGCCTGCAGCAGGGAGTCGCTGACGCCCGTGGGTGCCAGTCGCCTGCTGAATGGGTCTCGGGTGCCACCGAGCTGCGACCGCTGCTGTTGGGCTGCTGCTGCACCCCACCCCCGCTCTGCACCGCCGAAACACGGGGCAGGGAGATCCTGCAGCCTGCTCTGGTGTCTGACCTGTGCGGCTGCAGTCAGCCCCGTTCGTACCCCGTCCCTTTGATTTCCCCCCACCCCTGTCCTCCTCAACACCCCTTTCCCACCTTTGACCCTTCCCCTGAGGGTTCCTTTATCAGTTTTGCACAGTCCCACAGGACGCTCAGGTATCCCAAACCCTTTCGTCCATCATTTCCCACTTCTTATCAGCTACAAAGGCCAGGCTGACCCTCTCCAAAGCTGAGCTTGGAGTTTCTCAATGGCCCATCAACTAGTGGCTGAAAAGTTTTAGTCTTTGCTGTTGTCTCCATTATCTATCAGGTTTGCTCCTCTGTGTGTTTTGTGTCTTCCCCTGTTACTTCTCTTCCCTCTGAGCTGCAAAGGTCTTGACCGGACAACCTCAATGAAGCAGATGCTCTCACCTTCCACATACCCTTGCGGGTACTAGCAGGATTTTGGGAAGAGGCAACAAAAACCACCAAAGGCTTAAAATAATTTCCAAGCAAGGAAGAGCTGGGTGAACCAGGACTCCCCAGTCTGGAAGAGGGGTGATGGAAGGGGTGGGGAAGGGCTCTGTAAAATCTTGAGTGACTTGAAGAGGACATTCAGGTGTAATTGCTTGCTGTCTCTGCTAATACAATAACTAAGACACATTAAATAAAATAGCAGGTGGCAAATTTAAAACCAATTACAGGAGGTGTTTTT